ACCACCCAATTACTGAAAGAGATTATTGTTTCCTCTACCAAATTTAGCAACACCTTCATTGTACACTATGAATCATTCGATTAACTTCTAAATAAATGCAATATTTGCATCAATAATAATGATAATAGCTTCAATAATTCCACAACAATAATAAAAACAATATTAACACAATATGAAGAGTCTAGATTACATATACAGTCTTGATTATGTACAAAAGTGGGAGAGTATTCAGTAAAAATAAGTATAGGGAATCATAAACAACGCACTAGAGTACTTTCTTACAACACAAATCATTCTTGCAAAATGCTGGTCTTGTCAAACTAAGAACAAACAAACAAGGATTACCATACATATTATATTATTTAAGACCATCATCTAGTATATAATAGAGATTTCCTTTATTTGATGTTTCTTCTTGTTGCATGAACACAAACACCGAATTTTATTACTTGTGTGTGGATATACTCAAATTGCACTACCCTTGCTAGTGTAAGAATATCATTCAGTGTTCATTTAGAAATTACGGTTTGGATTTCAAGCCCCATTGTTCCAGTTGCTACAAGGTTCGCATCTGAAATACCCTATTCCTTGATTTTTATTTTTTTTTCGCTTCTTGATATCTTAACGACACCTTCTCTACCTCAATAACATATTGGTGTCAATCAAGTGGTATATATGTAATATTCCAAAATAAATATGTATGAAATAAGATTAAAATGAACATGAACTAAGAATAACACAACCTTATAAAAGTTTACTAACACAATCTTAAAACTTATAAAAGTTTACTAGCACAACCTTGTCAAAGTTCTTCAGATATTTGGGAAAAACCCAATACCAAACTCGAATTTCTCACACTAATTACCAAAACCATTTTCCTATATAAGTACCATGGACTATCATTGAAATAATTTTCTTTTTTGCAAACCAAAACACCAACTTTCCACACTAAAACACAAAAATATCCAGATTGTTTAGAAATTGCAATGGAATATGAAAAATGCATATCCATGTTAATCTAACTGCCTAGAAAAAATGATTCAGAAGATCAACCAACAACACCCTCAATTGTAAATTTCATCAACAAAGAGATAAAAAAAAAAAAAAAAACAAACAAACAAACAAACAAAAAAAATACTCAAATGACAACTCAAAATTTGAACTAACAATCACTCCCTTTCGGAAGAATTGTAAAACTAATGGGAAACTATTTCAATTTCTACAAAACTTACACTTACACTATACCTGAAAGAAATGGTTTAAGCTAACGATGTCCTCATTGGACCTTTCATTCGGTCCTTAATTTCAGCTAGAAACGATTGGAAAATGAGCGTAAGAAATGCAGCCCTCAAAGACAAAATTAAGTTTAAAATTGATCTACCAAAGAGACAGGGAGAAGAAGAAGAAATAAAAAAAAAAAGTAAAAATTAGCAATTTTTCTTACGGAATTTGATCAGCCTAATTAGAGGTGACCCTTCGTCGCCGGTGTTTGGGTCTCCGAGAGAATAATTATTCTTGAAGTTTAGATCGCGATAATGAAACCATTGTGCTGGCCTATGTTCTATTTTTCATAGGTGAACACTTTGGCCCTAGACATGTGTGTTGCACGTGATGTTTAGAAGTTTTTTTAAGAATGTCTTGTTGCTTTTACTCTAAAGGGGTTTTAAGTTGGTCATATATGTAAGAGACTAAAATTTTAATTAAATTAATTTATATTTAATATTGATAAATTTATTATAAACAGAAACATGTCAACAAACTAAAATAAAACGTATCAATTGTGGTATGGTGGAGAGAATTAACACTTAAGATCATCCACAATGCAAAATAAATAAGAATTATTATTATATTTTTTCTCTCAGCCATATCATGCCACGTTAAATTAAAAACTTATAAATAAGTTTACTCAATTCTTACCTTACATTATAGAACTCAAAATAAATGTCTTTAAAATTTCTCACTCTTCCACTTCAATAAATTTATTATTTTGTTTAATATAAATATTATATATTATATATACATTATAATATTTTATATTTAATTAATATAATTATATTTAACAAATTATTTATAACTTTATTATGAATATGTTTCTTTTAAACAAATCTTTTAAAAAATTAATTTAAATTTAGTGAAATAATATTTAATTAAATATTTTTATAAAAATATATTTAAATTTTAGTTTTTTACAATATAAAAATATTACTAATAAAAATAATATTAATTATATACAATATTTAATATAATTAAAAATATAATAAATAATAAAAAAGCATAAAAAAGAAAAGAAATAGAGAAGATTCTACAACCGTTTTCTTCCAAGAATGGTTCTAGGAATTTGTTGTTATTTTTTTTTGTCTTAAAATCATGTGACATTACCACGTCATTTTATATTTTAATAAAAACCGTGCATGGTAGATGGTTATCATTTGCAATACAAGAATACTAAGAATCATTGTTAAATTTTCTTTTTCAGTCACATCAACTTAAAAACTTATCAAAATTTTACTCAAATTGTACTTTTTTTTTTATTTTTTACTATTTTTCATTTGTATGTGGCATTGCCACCTCATCAAAAGAGGTTCTTATTTTCGTAACAACCTCTCATTACACATCACATTGTTTTAATTGATTTTTGACAAGAGTTTTGGATTCTATTTCTAAAAAAAATATTTTGTACTTATTTGCATTGATTTTTGTTTAAAAGTAAAAGTTTTTTAAGCTAATTTTTTTTTTTTTCAAAACACATTGAAAGAAGCTTTAAGCAAAAATATTTTTCAGTTAAAATTACTATTTTATCATCAATAATAATAATAATAAATACATATTATAATATAATATAATATAAAAATAATCAATTTATAAATTATATTTTAATAAAAAATATTCTCTCCGTCATGGAAATGTGTGCTCATTTGACCGGGCACGAATTTTAATAAAAGTGAGTAATAATTGTTAATTTTTCCTTTTATAGTAAAAAAAATACAAAAGTGAAATTATTTTTTACTTAAAAAAGAAATAAGAATATTTTTCGATGACAATTCAAAAAGGAAAGTGAGGATAGATTTGAATGACGAATGGAGTATAATTATATTATTATTTTTACTTTATATGTTATACTTAATTAAAATTTGAAATTATGATTGAAATACCAAATTTAAATGGAGTATATAATTTTTTTAAAATTATACTAAAATTATTAAATATAATATATATATATATAATTCTAAAATAAATTATAAAATACAAATAATTTAATATTAGATTGTAATTTTATTTTAAATTTATATATTATTGTCAAATTAAAATTTTAAAATATAAATAACTAAATTTTAAAAATATATTTTTTATACTTTAATATAAAATCTTTAAATATAATTAATAAAATTTAAAATAAATTGTAGTAAAAATTTTATAAAAAAAAATACAATTATATTAACAGTATGTCACTTTGAGTAATTTCAACAATTTACATTCAAACAAGTTTTTATAAAAAATAATCATTCATTGAAATACAAAATCCAATTTACTTTTGACTTTTAGAGGTGTTTGACAAACAGTTTTTTCTTCAAAAACTTTTAGGTTATTTAATAATTTTTAGCTATTTGACAGTGAAAAAGTTAATTTAGGTATTTGGTAAATTAGTTTTTTGAAATAGTTTATTGGTCCCAAAAAGATAATTTCTGAAAACTATATAACCCAGCGTTTAAGAGTTTTTTCATTTTAATTTTTTTTATTTTTTATATGCCCTTAATATGTTATTATTTATTTCACATACATATAAATATATTTTTTACTGCAAATTATAAATTATTTTAATATATATTTATGAAATTATAATTTTATTTTTATAAATTTAAATTAATTAACTTTTATATATAATTATGTTTTTATTATTATTTATTTTTATATTAAAATTAAATAAAATAGAATAAATTTATTAAAATTATAAATATAATAAATTAATCAATAATTAATATAATAAATATATTATACAAAAAATTATTATTATATATTTTACATCATTTTTAATAAAAAAAAATATTTATATTTCTTAATAAAATATATACTATTATTTTTCTCAATCTAAAATTAATAAATAAATATTTTATAACTCATTCGTAATTTTAGATAACTAATAATAAAATTATAAAAAATTTAAAACTAAAAATCCACAATTAAAAAATTTTAAAAGTTAAATATAAATATTTTTCATTGTCATTTTACATATAAAGAATTAATATCAAACCATAGTTTTATACAAACAACTAATTGAACCAACCAGTCAAACCAGGTAAAGGTAATTAATCAGCTAGTCAATTGAATCAGTTGAATGCTAACAACTAATTAAATCAGTTAAAATGGCCAAACACACCCTTACTTATTTTTGAAGTAAATCCAATCAAGCTCTAAGTAGGTATTATAATATTTACTTTTAATAAAAATTATTCATATTAAAATTGAAAAAACATCACCCACTATTTTAACGCAAGCATTCTTTCATTTCTCTTCAAATAAATGACATGAAGCTGTCCAGAAACGGTACAAAAAGTTGATGCCTTAGTGCGGAAGCAAAAGCTAAGGTATGATTTTTATTATCATGATTAAGAAGAAGTAAAAACCCAGAAAGAGGCGGCAAGAAAATCCAAAGGAAAAAAAGGCAAAGGGTTTAAAGCCCACCCTCCCATCCATCCATACACTTTTTGTCTTGTTGCAAACCCCCCTCATCTCCTCTCCCCTTGTCTCTTTGTCTTAATCCAACAACACAACACCAAGTGGAGATGGTCGTCTTCCTTCTTGCACTACCAAACAACAACTACAGTAATAATAATAATAATAATAATAACAACAACACTAGTGGGCTTTCTTACTTTTTTTTCTTTTGTCTTCATTCACCACCCCTCCCCCCTCCCTACTTTTCAAATACTTCTTTGCCTCGCCAGAGTACGTACATTCCGATAAGCCTTTTTCTGTGGTGTTACTGTTGCCTTACATTATTAACATTATTACATTATCCCACCCTTTACTTTCTTGGATTGGATGATTCACTTTACTTGACACTGTTATGGTTATGGTGGAAGAGACGACCAAATTAATACTGCCAGCTCTAGTTATTCCCATCCATTTTGCTTACGGACAAAAGGGTAACCCCATCTAACACATGATAGTCCCTATACTTTTACTTGTGTTTTTTCATATTTTTGACTCCCATGGCCATGGTTCTGTGAAAAGTCCACAGATAGTCGGGACAAAACACCACTGCTGCTTTGAATTGTCACATGCACAGCACAAGCCCGCCCCACACATCCATCCTTCCTTACAAAAATTAACATGTCTGCTTCGATAACTCCTTCATTTCAAATCATTTCTGCTTCTCCCATGTCATGTTGTCTGTCTTGTTGAATATTTCCTCTTACTAATTTTTAGCGCATGCAATTAATTAATTCTATTTCCTCCTCAACATTGAAGAACAACCTTTTTCCGCCGGCATGGGTGAGGAGGAGGAGAAGAGAGGGCTCTGTCTGATCCATCTTCTGGTCGCCTGCGCCAACCAGGTCGCCGCCGGCAGCGTCCACCACGCTAACGTCGGGCTGGAGTATATTTCCCATCTCGCCTCCCCCGACGGCGACACAATGCAGAGGATCGCCGCCTACTTCACGGAGGCGCTCGCCGATCGGATGCTCAAAGCCACCTGGCCGCCCCTCCACCGGGCCCTCAACTCCACCAGAATACACTCCCTCGCCGACCAATTCCTCGCGCACAAACTTTTCTTCCAATTCTGCCCCTTCCTCAACCTCTCCCACGCCCTTACTAACCAGGCCATCCTCCAGGCTATGGCCGGGGAGAGACTCGTCCACATAATCGATCTCAATCCCTTCCACCCTTCACAGTGGCTCAGCCTTCTTCGGGCTCTCCGAGCCCGGCCCGAAGGCCCGCCTCACTTGAAAATCACCGGCGTTCATGAGCAGAAAGAGGTATTGGACCACGTCGCCCGGAGATTGAACGAAGAAGCCGAGAAACTCGACATACCTTTCCAATTCAACTCCATTGTTAGCCGGCTGGAGAATCTCCTCCCGGAGAGATTGCCGGTGAAGATGGGGGAGGCCGTCGCCGTCGCCTCCGTGCTCCAGCTGCACACTCTCCTCGCAGACGGCCCGAATTCGTCGGCGGAATTTCTTGAGAAGGATGTGCAAATATCATCGCCGGCGATCCCTCCGTCGAAATTGTCCAACTTCCTGACCGGTCTGTGGAGCATCTCGCCCAAGATAATGGTGATTACGGAGCAGGAGGTGAACGACAATGCGATGAACCTGATGGACAGAGTCATGGAGTCATTGAACTTCTACGCGGCGCTGTTCGATTGCCTGGAATCGACAATGCCGCGGGCGTCGTTGGAGCGATTAAAGATCGAGAAGATGCTCTTTGGGGAGGAGATCAAGAACATCATCGCTTGCGAGGGCGTCCACAGGAAGACGCGGCACGAGCGCCTCGACAAGTGGAACGTAAGGCTGGAAATGGCCGGATTCAGGAAGGCGGCGCTGAGCTGCCATTCGCTGATGCTGGCGAGGCGACTTCTGCAGAGCTGGAGCTTCCAAGGATACAAAATTAGAGACGAAAACGGGAGCTTCATGATCTGCTGGCATGATCAGCCGCTCTTCGCCGTCTCAGCTTGGCGGAGGAGACGGGGCAACACAATGATCCATTGATGTATGTTAGCTTGTTGATACAGATTGTGTTGTTTCCTGATTGCCTTCTCTGTTGCTCTTTGCAATGCCTCTGTATAAAGAGCATGGAATGAGTTGTACAATGTTTTGAATGAATGATCAATAGGTTTGTTTGTTGGTTCTATATTTGTGCATGGAACTGTATTTGTAACAAATATAGAAATTAATCCTGAGAATTAGGAGAGACATGGTGGAAGTTGAATATATATAAGAGTTGGAAACTTTGAATGTTTCAGTGAATCACAATAAGAGGAGGAGGAGCAGGAGGAGGAGGATTACCGTAGGAAGCTGCTTTTCTGCCAGAAAAGTTTTGGAGGTAAGATTCAGATGCATGCTCTTCTTCATCGTTCTTCTGATTGATGGATTTGTGATGAATTGGATCGACAGATCGTCGTTTGTGTGGGTGATTGATGCTGATTTCCTTTTGCTCTTTTTTGGATTGGGGGAAATCGAATTCAGATGTCGAGTTCCGATCATGAGGTTGAGGAATCATCTGAACATAAATTTCGTGAAGATACAGATGTGGAGAAGGTTCATCGTCGCCACCTGTTTGGGCGGCAGCGACCGGTGCACGTTGCCCTAGGCGGTGGTAAACGTGCGTCTGCCTTACTCTGCTTTCGCTGATTGATTGCTTCCATTGTTGAAACAGTTTTCCTGTTGATTTCGATTCCGTGATGGAAGATAACTCGTTCATTGAATCGACTGGAGGGAATTGATGAATTTACAACCCCACCCCACGCATATTTGATCTATGTGATTAATCGATTCGAACTCACTCGATTGGATCGATCGTTGTTCGTTGCAGCTGCTGATGTGATTCTATGGCGGAACAAGCAGATCTCCGGCACGGTGCTGGCCGCCGCTACCGTAATATGGCTCCTCTTCGAGTGTATAGACTATCGCCTCGTCACTTTCATCTGCCATTTTCTCATATTATCTTTGTCCACTTCGCTCCTATGGCAGAATCTCTCCTGCTTCGTCCACAAGCAAGTTTTCCATCTCAGCAGTCGATCATCGATCCTTTCTCATACACCTCTGTCGATTTCCAACTTGTGTAATTTGGTGTTTTATGTACAGGCCAGGCTTCAACTTCCCCGAGGTTAAACTCTCGGAAGATCTCTGCAACAACTTCGCGCTCCGATTAACCAAACAATGCAACAAAGCGATCCGTACCTTCCGAGAAATCTCTCTAGGACGCGACGTGCAGAAATTTCTCCAGGTAACCAAACAATTCTACTTCTTCATTCACATCACCACACTTAAAGTTGTGAATATAAATTACCTCTAAACCATAACCAACCACAGATGATTCTCGCGTTGTGGATCGTGTCGATCTTAGCCAACTGGTTCGACTTCCTGACCATAGCATATATCCGTAAGTATTCTACAAGCTCAAAACATTTTCCACAAATCCAATCTGATCCAAGGCAAGGTATATTGGGTGATCTTAACAGTGTCTGTGATGATGTTGACGATGCCGTTGCTGTATGAGAAACACGAAGATCGCGTGGATTCCTACGCGCTGAAGGCGAAATCGAAACTCCAGAAACAATACACCTCCTTCGACGAAAGAGTTCTGCAGAGGCTCCCCAAAGTTCCTTTCCTTAAAGACAACAACAAGGTGCACTACAAGGTGCGCTACTGAATGATATATATATATATATATATATATATTCGTAGTTTTAATTACTTAATTGTGTTGGAGGTCAGATTATGATGATACAAAATCTATTTTCATTCTTTAGCTAGTCTTTGTATTGTATAAGCACACGACCATATTTATCCCTCATTTCTTCACTTCCATTTGATCTTATACAACACCACCAACCAATATGGCCGTGCTAAGTTGACTTTTTGTTCTATTAATATTTTTTAATAAAAAAATCAATTTAATTTTTGTTTTTTTTTCTCGATTCCTATCAATATATTCATTTTATTATTTTTTATTGTGTTTGTTTCTTTTGTCCTTTTTTTTTTTTTTCTCAAAAATACTATCTTATATTATTTTAATACGAAATCTAAACTAAATTTTTTGGTATTTAAAAATTAAAGATATTTTGATATTAATGTATAATTACTTTCAATATAAGAAAATATATTTTTGATTGGGACAAAAAAAATATTATATTTTACGTAAAATAAATTATATAACTATTTACCAATTGTATTTATAACTCTATCAATCGTACTTTTAAAATATTTCATTTTGTCAAACTCGATGCTTACACGGTACCTGCTACACATGTTGCATTGTCGGGCTAAGTTTGCAATGTATTAGATTCGGCCGAAAATTTAGCCAGTGCACACTTTTGGGTAAGGCTATGGGTTTTCACGTTTTTAAAAAAAAAAAAAATGCAAACTCCATTTGTCCATTAGTAAATATTCTATTGAGTTTTTGCATAGACTAAAGTTAATTAATATTTTATAAATATTTAATTAGTGTATTATTATAACATATTTTAATCAATTTCAAATTTTAATATATTAAAATAAATATATAATTATATTGAATAATATAATATTATTTATCATAATCACCAAAAATAAATAATACAGTGATATTATTTAATCTATTTACAAATATAAGAGAGTATTTATTTTAAATTTAAAATACTTCTTTCACCTTGTTCATGTATGTTTTCAAGGTGTTTTGAAATTTTAGGCTAATTTGAAAATAATAAAAACTTGTATAATAATACTATATATGTTTGATGTAATTGGTGTATCAAATTTATTAAATAGAGAAAAAAATCAATTTTTATCTCAATATAATCAAAACTCATCAATTTTGGTGCCAATATAAAAAAAGTCATTAGTCTCATTATAAACAATTTCAATTAATTTTGGTTTCATTATAAACAATTTCAAAATGGAAACTACATGGCCATATATATTTCAGTGTATAATTATACATGGTCATGTTGTTACACGGCCTTCATGTTGTTATATGGTCATGTATATTTTAATGTATAATTATATATGATCATATTGTTACACATGTATAATTCTACATGGCCATGTACCTTTCTGTTTTAGTCTAAAATTTATTTTTTATTATTTTTTTATATATATTTTTTTAATTTAGAATAGTTGATATAGTTAAAATGGAAAAAAAAAATCGATAATAATCATAATATAATTAAAATGTATTAATTTTAGTTCAAATATAAATATTTATCGAATATGTTCTTTTGGAAGATTTTGTCTAAAATTTTACTATTTACCAAAAAAATTTCTCTTACAAACATCCAATTACAATATTGAAATAATAAATTAATTTTTAATACTGTTATAATATACAAAATTAAAAAATAGTTGTGTAATTGGATGTTTGTAAGAGGAAATTTTTTTTATAAATAATAGAATTTTAGACAAAACCTTTCAAAAAAATATATCTTATAAATTTTTATATTTGAATTAAAATTGATAAATTTTAATTATATTATTATTACTATTGATTTTGTCCATTTTAACTATATCAATTATTTTAGTTCAAAATAATTTTTTTAAAAAAATATAAAAAATAAAATAAAATTTTAGACTAAAATAAAAATGTACACGGCCATGTAAAATTATACATGGGCGTGTAACAATATGACCATGTATAATTATACACTGAAATATACATGGCCGTGTAACAACATGATCGTGTGTAATTGTATATGACCGTGTAGTTTTCAGGTCGGCTGTCACGTCACCTCCGTTAGGTTCACGTCAGTAATTTCCGTTAATTTTTTAACAGTGGAACCAAAATTGATTGAAATTGTATATAATGGGAGCAAAATTGATTGAAATTGTTTATAATGAGACTAAGATTAATGAGCTTTTTTATATTTAGACTAAAATTGATAAATTTTGGTTATATTGGGACCAAAATTTATTTTTTTCCTATTAAATATATGAGAGAATATGTTTGAAAACAATACTATTCTTTTAAATATCAAATATGTTTATGTGGAAAGATTTTTCATAAAAATTATTAAAATATAATATACCTACATCAACATAAACGTAATATATATAATATATAAATTAATAATTTAACATAAAATATTATTTTTTATATCATTAATACAATTTTGTATATCTGTTGTCGTCAAAAAATCGCCACCAACGACTTAATCGGAAAAGCCTATCGGAATTGATTTAATGGTAGGGTTCCCCGACCTCCTCAAGAAAGAATCCGAACTATCTCGCGATAACCGAAAGAATTAACGAAAAAAGAAGGTAAGATATGAATGAACGCTGCAAATTAAATTAGAATTAACGAGAGAAAACTGTAAGAGTCCGAAAAGAATGCAGGAATTAAAAATTGCAGAGGAAAAAATTATTGCAGAAGAAGATCATCCCTCGTCCTTCAGCCTCCTTAGGCTTTTATTTCTCTGATTTTGTTCGGATAATATTCTTATCCCTTGTTTTTCTCCAAGCTCCCTAAGATCTTGTTTTTTATCGGTTTATTTGTTGACTGCGGGCCTATTTACTGATCTGGACCTTTTTTGGGCCGTACCCTCCCGGGACTTGGGCTGAACTTGCTTGGGCCGGCCCGGTTGATTTTTGGAGTGTACAATACCTAACATAAAAAAATGTATATTCGGTACAAATTGTGCGTTGAAAAAAAAAAAAAAATTCTTAAGATAAGCTATTCCGAAAAGAACTCTATCTATTATTGTGCGATATGTAGGTTTTAATGAACTTGTTATTTATGAATCTCGCTGCCTCTTAGCCCTTAGTTTCCACAGAACAATCGTAAACCTAAGTTTTATTACGGTGCAAGATGTAAGTTTCAATAAACTTCTTATTTATGAATCTCGCTACCTCTTAACATTTAGCTTCCATAGAAGAATATTGTGACAACGTAAACTTAAGTGGTCATATTGAATTCCTTGATCAATTTTTTAATTCATAGAAGTATTTTTACTTTAAATAAAGACTCATCCAAAAACATAAAATGAACAAATTTGTATTTAATCTAAAATTTTCTCTCTCTTATCAAACTCTAAATCTAAATTTAAAAATTAATACTATAATATTTTAATTAAAAATAATTATTAAACAAATGTGATTTTTATATGTTATGATAATGGTAACAATAAACAAATATTAAGGTCCTTATAGACATGATTCTTTTACCTATTTTTTTTTTTTAAAAAAGAATATTGATATTTGCATATTGTTTGAATTTTATTCTTATTCTTATTCAATTTTTTTTTTTTTTGTCACAAATTCATTTATCTTTAAGTTTTTTTGTTTTTATTACTTTTTATTAAAAAAAACTTTATTTTTGTCCTCCAAGAATTAGTTGTGTATACATTCTCGTGGGGCATATATTACTCGTAATTGATGATTGACCATTTGGTTTAGTGTTTTTATTCCTTTTAAATAATTTTCTTCTATTGAGCATTAATATGTGGAAAAATAAACGGTAAAAAATTCAATTAAAATAACATATTATGCATCCAAGTGAAAGTTAGAATCAATTTTAGTGAAATATTGATACAAAATCTATGTATTTATTCTTACAATAAAATTGTAGAAATATTTCAAATAGCATCCTTTACTTTTTGATTTTTTTTTTTTTTATATTTCATATTCCCTCCGTATCGTATACTGTATTTCTGTCTGTCTCACATCTCATGTCACTTTTATTTTTTAAAAATTTATTACACACTTTAATCTATTTTAAATTTTCTAATCTATACATTTTTAAATTTTAATTAGATTAATTAGTTATCTTAATTTTAATTTATAATTATTTATATTGTAAAATAATTATTTTTACTAATATATTTTTAATTATTTATTAATTATACTTATCTTAAATTTTCGTTGTTCCCAATTTATATATAATTTAATTTTTATTTCATTCTTTGGTTTTATACTTTGTAAAAATCCTATCATATATCATTTATATATTTGAATTTTTCTATTAATTTTTTTTGTTCATATAAAGTATGTCATACTAATAATTATTTATATATTTAGAGTTAAAGTTTATATATTTTACTTCTATTTTTTTTTTAATGTAATTTCTTACTGATTCTTATTGATTTATATTAATTTCATATATAAATAGTAGTATTATAAATTTAATAATTAAATATACTTCTAAAATTTTAATTACAAATATTCATTTTAATATATATTTTTTATTAATAGATATTATTTGTTACATATATATTTTAAATTCTATTATTTCATAAAAAAAATTAATTTATAAATATAATTTATTAGCATCTTATATCTTATCTTATCTTATACACATATTTATATTTAAACTCAATGTAGGACCCAAAAAAAAAAAAAATTTGAATTTATAGCATTTATAAATTTTTTTTTTCTCTAATTTTAATTGGTTACAACATTTTATTAGTTATTGTAAATATATGGCCCACATCTTTTTTTTTTTTTGATTTATTTAATACAATCTATTTAATTCTTATTTTAATAATTTTTTTTGTGTATGTGGATATATAATATTGTGTAACGTAAATACAAATAATTAATTCTTAATATAATTAAATTTTTTTATAGTTTGATATAATGTTTTATTATAATATTTAAATATTGTAAAATCAATTTTATGATTAATTATATATTATCTTTATGTTAACAAATTATTATAATTGATATATAAATTTAAAATTATATTATAATAGAAATAAAAAATAAATATATCAATGATATTTATTAATAGAAATAAATTTTTCTGGATAATTAATTCATATTATTTTAATAATTTAAAAGAAAAAAAATATTAATAGAAAATATAAATAAGTAATTATTTTGTCTTTTAATTATGTTAAATGATATAGTTATACATATATAT